GTGTATATATATATATATATATATATATATATATATATATATATATATATATATATACCTGATTACTTTTTAATGGTGCTCCTTACAAGTAATTTGCTTTTTCCCAAATAAAGATTGCCTGAACTACAAAAAAAGAAAAAAAGAAGAAGAAATTTTGCTTTTTGGAGAGGAGGAATTCAATACAAAATAAATATTGTTGATGATAAAGCAGTAACCTCAGGGGTGGGTGAGGGATGGAAATCTCAATATAAAGTGAAACTATTAAGCGACTTTTAACAAAAGTAAAGCTACCACAGAAGTTGGGGATGATATTTTTGCTACTCTGCATTAGTCTTGTAGAAGAAAATATCTACAGTAGACGAGGTAAATCACCTTCCGGTTCTATGTTGTACAAAGTTTTAGGAATGATTCAAATAATTACCAAATCAGTGATTTTACTACTTTTAGTGTGATGTTTAATATAGCATTTTTCATCATTAAACTGCAAGCTCTACATTAACATTAACTGCCTGATTTACATGCCTACACCTGTCTGGATATTATGGGTAAGGCGAAGCATGGAAATTCCAGCAATCCCACTCTGCCATTCATGGTTGCAGTACAACACCTCAACCAAACACTAAGGTCTTCCTTCTTTGTGCTGAACAGATAGACATTTTTCACTTTGTTGTATTTAAAAAAAAATAATAGTCTCCCCCAAAATAAAACCCACTTCCAAATTGGTGTAGTTTATCATAACCTTAAGAGTAGTGAATCCAAGCATTCATATGCAATAAGTTGTGTCATTAGGCAGCAGAAACAGAAAAAAAGGTTGCTGCTAATGTCTAACATTTCTGAGCAATTTAACATCTCTTAATAATATTGTTTACAGCATTAAGTGGGTTTTGTATATGTTGATAAAACCCTTGTAATGTTTATTTCAATATTATTCTTTTTGAGTCACTGAGTTACAGTATCTTGATCCAAGATGTCACTCTTTCAGCATTTTTTATGGCTTTTGCTGTCAATTCAGAAGTACTTCATATAGTAAGTAGGTTTAAAATGTTTGCAAATATCACAGCTATTTAATAGCTGAGTGCTTCTCACATGAAGTTTGAGATCTAAAATATCATATTTGGGGGTTTCGTTTGTATAGGTTTTTGTAAGAACCCCTTGTTAAATTTTATATACTCAGCAGATGGAAAAATGAAAAATAGAATATACCAATAAGCTGTAACCAGAATTATTGAGTGTCTGTTTATATTTCTAGGATCTCATTCAGTAGCACCCTTCTGGCAAAAAAAGAGCATATAGTGCTTTTTATTATATTCTGAACATCATCAAATCCTTACTATATCAAATAGAACAAGTACATTCCTGAATTGAGAGATTTACATTGAGACAACCTTGCCTTTGGTCAAATCCAGTCTTACTTTTTCATTCATAATATTTCTCTCTTCTTCTCCCTGCAAGTCTTATCAGAATACAGAAAGTTTTACCATCCATTTTCACAAAGTTGACTTCAATTTCCAATTAGAAATCTAATTTTTAACCTAAACAGTTTCTGTAATTTATTAATACAACACCTAATACATATCAATACATGGAACAAGTTAATGATGGAAAAATTAAAATGTTAAAATGGTGACCCTGATGTTCTTGTGTGATGCCTGGGGACAGAAATATTACCTACACCTGAAGTTTTTCTCTGTAGCAATTATCATCTGGGATTTAATGGCATTTGTGTGGTTATTTGCTTAAAGTCTCTCTAACTGGTCTCTAGGAGGCCAGGTCTAGGCTTTCTTCATTCACTGCTGATAACCTGTGATAACTATGTCTGGTACAGCATGTATTCAAAATATATTTGTTGAAGAAACCAATGAATAAGCCAGTGTGTAAAAAATAACGTGTAATATAATAAATGTAGGTGGAAAATGCTGAGAGCATAGGAGAAGAGAGGACAGGAGAGACTGAGAAGGCTTCACTGAAGAGTAAACACATTAAACTAAGCCTGGAAATGTTGAATTTACCAAGGTAAAGCTGGGTCAGAGCACTGGCTTCAAACAATGTCTCAACTCTCAGCCTGTCATGCCTAGTTCTGTAACCTTGAATATAGATAGTTTCCACATCTTCGACGGGCAGTAGTAATAATACCTATGTGGTAAGAGTGTAGTAAGGATTAAACGAGATCACACATGTAAAGTGCTTCGTGCCATGCCTAGCATATAGTAAGTGCTAAACACATACTGGAAATTATTATGATTGTTATTATTAAGCAAGGAGAGTGGAATGAGCAACCCTGGGTATTGAGAAGGGGGTGGGGGAGTCAAAAAGAACAGAAATGGAATAAAATATTGGGTAACTGGTGGATGTGTGAGTAAAGAGGGATGAAATTGACTATGTCTGGAGGAAGAGGAGCAAGTTTGGGGAATGGAAAATTAATTCAGTTTAAAATATGTTGGTAGCAATCAACAATTCCTTGAACTT